AACGGGTCTTTAAATCGAAAGCGGGCAAAAACCATTGTGATATTCGGAATCAGCACGTTCGATTACCTATTGTCAACTGAGTTTAAGCTCAAAAGCGAGGAGGCAGTTGGTGGCCTTCCCTCGTTAGCAATATTAAACTATATTTAATCCCGATAAAATGCATAAGTAGAATTAGAATAAAAAAAATTCAACTTTTGAATGAAAAGTAAACAATTAATATCAACTACATAACCAATGAATTTAACCTGAAACATCTGAGATCCTCTTTTGTCAATCAGTACGCCAAAAATACTCATAGTTGGTACTTAATCTTTTGGCTACCGATGTCCTATATATAGGATGGCGATCTTTGCTTTGTTTACTGCTGTCCTATTAAAATGATGCCTTGAAAATTCCAGCTTTTGACAGTGACACGTGGCAGACAAAACCCTAACTGTAGAGAGTTACATGAGCGCAAAATCTAAAAATTTCAAAGCATCATTTTAATAGGACACCGATAAGCAAATCGAAGACCGCCGCCCTATATACAGGACACCGATAGCCAAAGTGTTAACCTGACTCGTTTCTTTCGTGCACTTCTCTATAAATATACAAATATATTGTGATTTTTACCAAAAACTTTTCCACGGTGTCATACCATAACTCCTCAGAGGTATGGATATTGCCAATCCTGAAATAGTATGAATAATTCTTTAGTTATCAGATGAACAACAGCTGACTTTGAAGTTAGCTTACCTTCGGGGAAGTTTTGAAGACCAATACCAAAAGCCAAATTTCTTAAAACAAAGAAAAATGATCGAGTTGTTTTTTATTCTAACGTGTAGGAGTAAATAGAAAACGTTTGCTCATTGAGTGAACATGAGAAACCATAGACTATAAATGTTGCGACGTCACGTACAACATACCTCGCATTATTGAACGCATTCGTTTCATTTAACGAACTTTTTACTGAGCCGAAACCAACGCCAACAGCCATTCCTTCTGAAAACAATAGACCAGATTTAAGTGTTTACGAAGTGAAGTTGTCTCATCTCACTACATACCCGGAAAATTATGAACGGTAACCGCGATAATAAGCAAAAGCATCCTATTCCATTTTATACGATTTGTTTCTCCTTCTTCCGGACCACAATGAATCATTTGTGGTTTTATTATATGCCCATTTGCTACTACATTTTTGCTCACGCGTTGTCTTGCCTCATAATTCATTGAGATGATTCTATATTGAGAAATTACTAAAGGGGGAAAAATTTCTCAAAGTTATATAAAATCCCAATACCAATGTAATATTACCATTATTGGACGCTATGTCATTGTCATGCTTCTTATCGGTTGAGAAAAATGACTGAAAGAAATAATGCAGAATAATTTGTTGTATATATTTATGAAAAATTCTTACTTCATTTAAATTCTCAAAAGATGGTAACCATAAATCAGAAATATAAACAAATAAAGAGCCAAAGATAAATCCAATTGTAATTGGAATAAATGCATATTGACCTTGTTGACCATATAATTTCGATTCTTTTGCATTCCTTATTCCAGGATCAAGCAATGACCAAAAAGATGCTGCGCACATAACCTGAACAAATTAAGAAGAAAGACACTGTTTCTGATCATCATAAAAATACAAAAAAATTCAAAAGAAACGTACATCGTACCCCTGCTGCGAAGCCTAGACTGTAATCAAGGAGTCTTTGCTAAATAAAAGAAGAGATTATGATAATAAACAAAATGTTCAGCTAAAAAAAGAGAGATAAGTTACATTAGGTGACTTGAAAATAAATACCGACGATGAGCCCAGTGCTGTCACGAACCATGTAAAAAATGTTCCTAATAATGTTTGATGAACAGAGGAATAACCACGTAACATTCAAATAGTGGACGATAAAATAAATTTCTATCTACATTTCACAGGATGACAGAAAACAGGTAAAGACAAAACGCACAATAAAAAAATCATCTAAAAAACGGAAAACAATTAGAGAATCATATTAGAAAAAGAAAACAAACGTAAACACAAATAAAAGTGAACAGTAGGTGAGTTATAGTGGTATGCTTTTATTTTCTATTTTATCAGATACGGCACAAAATTTGAAACAGGCTAAAAAAGACGAGGATCTAAGGATGTGTTTGAGTTAAAATGTATTTTTAACATTTCTTAAATACTTTATAAATAGTCAATTCTGTTAGAAACTTTCATTGCGATCTGAAAGATACCCTCTTTTCGAAGCAAAACTTACATCGCGCGTAAGTTTGAAAATAAATATTCTTAGTTCACAACGTAGAGAAGCCTTTACAGTTACGGTATATCTGCTACAGGAAGGCATGATCTAATATTCGAGGAAATCCTCTTAGAAGAGAACAAAGCATCACACGACAAAAAACCACAACAATATATTTCGAAGGTACTTTCTTTCTCTCGATTTATACCTTAATTTTTCAAATAATAACCATACATATAGATAATCACAGCTTATAGAGAGAAATAAAATGACTATCTGGATATAATAATTGAATCAACATTGAGATTGAATCAACAACACAACAATCGTAATTGAATCAACATTGAGAAAATAATTTCAGTTTATTAGCATTCATTGTCATATCAAACAGCGTTTCCTGATCTCATATTCACAAATGTTGGGATATCTAGAGAATTTTGAAGTCGGAAACCACAGCGAACAACCTTTGAACATCATAAAATAACACACTCTGGTGATCTTTCTAACAGTCATCAGTCCATGGTAATCGAATTCTTGACTCCTGCCAGCTCTCTGCCAACAACAACAAAAACATAATTTTCAACACTTTACTATTCATCACACGCTAATCAATTTGAGATGAAAAGGGCAAAAATCAAATTTTATCTCACTTGACATTTTCCAAAGATTCGATTTTCAACAATATAATAGAATTGTCTGTACACGAAAAGTGCTTTTCAATTTTATTATCTCATCGATTTGTTACGCACTCGAATCTGTATTGATTCTACTTATTGACAATCATTTTCAGTTCTTTCGTTAGCTTGCCATTACGCTATGAAATCTCACTGGACATAAATTCCAAAGTGTGTAACAGAACAAATATCAGCTTTTTTCTAACTGGATTTTTACCTCTGCTTGGAATCAAATGAAATGGAATTGTAACGAAAGGTGTGGTCTACAAAATGGAAAAACCATAATACCTCATGAAAGACTAGATATATAGGAAAAAATCTGTTTTTTCTCACTAGATGGCTGAGACTAACCAATACCGACATACGAGGGTTACATCACGTAAACTACACGAGACAAAAGGTTGACTTCTAGCACGGTAGTAGACCTAGATAAAGAAAATGCAAAACAGGAGCGTCTATTCTTGTGGAACGTTTGAGATGCAATGCCTCAAACAAACGTAAGATGGTACGCTTTTTTGCTGTACAAATGAATTTTTTAGGTGGCACACTGAGTGATCGAACCTTCGAGGTGGTACAAAATGCCTCAGATATTCAGGTGGAGATAGACGGCCCTGATATAAAAAGAAACTTTAGAATTGCCTTAGAAGAAAATGAACAATGCAATGACTTTGCTATTCAGTCATGTGAATCAAGAGGAATACATTTAATTATAATTAATCTTGCTTTCAATGCCAGATAAGGGATAGATACTGCCAATCACGAGGACTGTAGAAAACTTATATCGTTGTTATATTGTTTAGGACACATTATTCGGAAGCCATATTTTCCCAAATCAATAGTCGAAAGATGCTGACTTTTACAACGAAATATGAATTCTTAAAGTAGCGTTTTATTTTTCTAAATTATTTATGCATTTGCGAAATTTTGGCCAAGCACAGAGGACTTGAAGTGGAAGAAAGCATTTTCATAACCGGTATTAATTTCATCTTGGTACAAAATTTCCATGTTATTTATTGTTCAGTACAATTGCAAAACTGGATATGTCTACAGTAGACGAAAACATGAGGTTTCTAAAAAGAAGTTGCAAGTCAGAGTGACAATGGAAACAATATTCCACTTGTTTTGAAAATTATGAAGTTATGCTCCTGATGTTAGTTTTCAATTATTTTTTGTATGGGTAGCGAAAAGATTAGATATGTTAATTGGCCATTTGTCGAAGATTCGAAAACTAGCTTTTAATTGTCGCACTCTACACTATTGTGCATGGTCACCGATGTAACAGCTACTTATTTTTATGGCCTTCATCAATTTACCGTCGATTGCTGCATTTTTTTTTATTACATTTTAATGAACATTTCAAGATACTACTAAGATCTGGACGACCGCCATAAATGATCATTGGAGCAGACAACGGTTTGTTCTGTATTAGAAGAACGTCGTACTTTTCTTACATTTCTATCATCTGGTTTTTCCAGCTTATCTTGGTGGTGTTGAACTTCGTCGGAGCAATCGCAAAAGTTGTTCAGTATTGTAAGACAGCCATAGGAAGAAAATGCTAAGAAAAATTGGCTGTTGCGACCAGATAACTGTTGTTTTATTTTTACAGTACAGTTTTTAAAAATTAAGGAAGCTTAGAGAAAACTTGAAAAATAGGTAAAAATTCTCAGTAAAAAACATAAAATAGAAATAAAAATGTAGACTTCTCCGACGATCTTGGCATCTGGCACCGGCTAGGTCCAGTCTTGAACTTCTTCGGAGCAAATAGCGATAAAAAGAACTATTAATGCTTTCTTTAATTTCTTCAACTTAGTTCATGAAATAAGGAACATAGCAAAACAAAGATAGAGAAAGGAAAAATCGTCGTTATTGAGGACAGCTAAAGACTTTTCATGGCTAAATAGCATGAACATCTAAAGAAAGGAAAAAGGCCATGATGTAATTTATTACGTAATGTGACATAATAGTATTTACTTAAAACTACCATAAACCAACCCGTTTCTCTGTCGGTCAGACATACAGACAGTGTGGCTCTATGTGAAGGGATTAAGCCAATAAGATTACTCATTATGGCGAAATTAGTTCAGATCAGGAGAAAGTGAAGCGCAAAGCTGAAAAGCAAAACTGGTCTGTAAGTGGTTCTCTTCATTTTCGAAGTGAAAAACAGAATGGGAATCGACTTTAAGAAAGCGGATGATCGCTTTTCTTTCGCAGAGACCACCAATCAGATTAGAATCAATTAGCAACTAGCATTTTACCATTAGAAAAATTAATATTATCGTCCTTCACATAGAAGCTATCATTTTCGATAAGTAGCTTTATTATTATTATGACTAGCAGAATAATGCATACGGCTCAAAGTACAGACAAAATTCATGTCTTCGGCTGTAAAGCAGCGTGCCCGTATGTACGTAGACGTCAATCATGTCTCTGACTCGATTCTTGCTTGCCAGTATAATGCATGAGATGGATACTGTGAATCAAGCATATCCGAATTGTAAAAATAGGCTGATATGGTCTTGGGCTATTGACATTGCCATATAAAATGTCTCCTGTTGTCTAAGTCCATCCTTTACCAATGCTATCAGTAAGGTTAACGCATTTCCAATTCGTGTTCTCTTTTTATGAAGCACAGAAAATTGAGGTCTTTAACTTATCGTTATGGCGGTGGTTCTGAGTAAAGAAAAAGTAGCCATTGAGTAATAAATTGATCTAGAGCCAGTTTCATCAAAAAACTTAAGTTTGACTTAAGTGAAAAACTAAGAAAAAGTTAGGAGACACTTAAGTTAAACTTAAGTTTCGTCCTAAGTGTGTTTCAGGAGGGTGTTTCACAGAAATTCTTAAGTGCTCGACTTAGACTTAAGTCATACTTAAGTCTCCGTTTTGTCTGAAGTTAAGCTAGACTTAATTTTGAGTATTTCACAAAAATTCTTAAGTCATAGACTTAACTTAAGTTAAACTTAAGTTCACGCTTAAGTTAAGAGTAAAGTTAAGAGTAGTCTGTACTTGTCTTAAGTTTGTCTTAACTCTTACTGCGATTATAATATGATATAAAAATTGAAGTATTAGAGCTGTTTCCAAAATCTAAGAGACTAAGACTAAGACTGTTTTCTTCACGAAAAGTGAAATCCGCTCTGGACCGGGCACTAAAAGATGCAAAAGTGGAAGAAATTTGTGCTTATGGCTTAGAAATTTATCATATATTCATTAACAGCTTGTTGTCAGATACCACTGATTGATCACTGACAACAAGCACCTGACTCAGGCGCCATTTGGTCATGGGTTATTCAGATACAGTTTATCTATGGATATTTGATTGATATTACAAATGAGTCATTGCGATTTGTTTGTTTTTTTAATCTTTTTTCTCCTTTTCCCATATATTTTCCATCCGCTCATGCCATATCCGAACTATCACGAACTCTATTTTTTTTGGAAAAGTGCGGTAGATTGCAATACATCTATGCACCAGTTAAGTGCACGGACTTAACGTAAGACCGTGCGATTAAGTTGTGCACTTAAGTTTGAAGTTGTGCAACGCTTTAAGTTCGTCAACTTAAGTTTGTCTCAAACTTAGATAAGACATGGACTTAAGTGTAGACTTAAGTTGATGACTTACGAATTTCTGTAAAACACCCTCCAGTAAGCACAACTTAAGTATGACTTAATAGCAAATATCTGTGGCTTAAGTTGAATTATGGCTAAGATGAACCAATCAAAAGACAAAATCGTTTTGGAGGAATTTTTTCAATCATGGCACACAGGTTCATCCATAGAAACTCATACTTCTATAAGTTTAAGCAATTTTAGCATAATGTTCGAAGTTTTGTACACTGTTTTCAAGGAGGAGCGCACCGGGCGAGAGTAAAGTGTATATGCATTATGTATTTTAGGAATACACCTTAATTTTCCATGGATACACTCTGTAAAAAATAAATTTCAGCTTAGGAAAGTGTAGCTTCTGCTACTTCGAATTGTTGCTGAACACTGACTTTTTCGCGTTGAAAGAGTTTCACCAGATTTTATAACAAAAATGAAGCAATCAAGGCATTGCATCTTCACTGCCCACTAAAAAATGCACAATCTGTTTTCCACACACTTATTCTAGATTTGACGCTGAAATTAACTTGTTTGAGAAAGCAGTTGCACTAATTCTAGTCGCGATCTTTTTACAAGCACAGCAAACGAACTTAGAACTCTTTTTTACCTTCATTTTGTGACGAAGTTTTTATTTGAACATATGTACAGTCAATAACCCCTATAACACGCTGAAATCGAGATGTCTCATAAAAACCTTGCTTAATTTCGTCGAGTTCGTTTGCTGTGCTTGGAAATGTTATTGTTTGTGTTGCCATATTTGCTAAAATTGCTGATATAGCTTTCATTAACCGACTGACAGAAGCTTTACTGATGCCATGTATGTCTCCATCAACGAATAATCCAGTGGCATAAAAGCGTAGAGCAGTTAACAACTGTATTACGGGTGGAATGGGTTGCGTTCTTTGAGTTGCACGAACTATTTGAGGTTCAATGAGAGTCAATAAATTGATTATAGCCGTTTTTGGAAATCTATATCGTGCTAAAACCATATCATCTGTCATTGTTCCCAATGGATTTTGCCTACCTCTAAATACTCGTTCTCTTTCGAATGCTCTTGCTGCTAAAATCGTTGCTATTGCCATTTCATTTTTCCTTTTTTAAAGACTTTTAGAAGGAAATAACGTTTTTCAGTTAGTTAAGATCAATTTTTTGACTTACGTCATACTTAGGGTACCTATTCGGTCTCCTAAGTTAAGCAAAATATTAAGTCTGACTTAAGTCGAAAATCGTACTTAAGTTTTTTGATGAAACGCGATTTTTTATCTTTTTTGACTTAAGTTTTTTGATGAAACTGGCCCCTGGCCAAGCCGTATAAAGTAAAAATCTTCGTACTGGTAACTATACTTGCAAACTTCAGCGGTGTATTTTTCTGCGAGGATGTTCAGATTGAAATTCGCTCCTCGTTCTTCAGCTCCTACACTTTATAAAGTAGCAGTTGATTGTATAGTAAAAAAAGGTCCTCTCCAGGGTCGCCAACTCAGAGGATCAAGAAATCGAAGAATTTTGATAAATCAGAAGAATTGGTAGTTCTGGTCCTAGCTTATTTTTTTCCAAGTGTTCCTTTTGTCTGGTCTGTTTGTTTGGCAGGACCCATCGTGTTACAGGTTCGGCATCTTTGATGATTTCTCACGTTTCCTGAATAAAGTATTATAGGTATAGTTTGTTCTAAGCAGAACTAAGTGATGACAGTATTGATGAGGGAAGCAGGAGTAACAGAAATACATTCTGTTTCTGCTATTAATTGTTGACTCAGTTTGAGAATGTGACATTTCTGCTAGAGATTTATTTTAGATTTTACTTATTTTTAATAAATATGCTTTGATGACTACAATTAGTCCCGGCATATCAGCATCTTCGACAATGAGTATACCTTCAATCTCTCAAACAGTATGTTTTGTGATTTCGTTTGTATCTATTTACTGTCTTACTAAGTTGTGTTCATTTTTCACTTATAGCAATCACCGTCAGCTGCAGGAGCAACTTATTCCGATATTTCTACAACAAACTCAACTCCTTTGGCAATTCCTCTTGACTTAAGTACATTATGGGTTGAATATAAGAGTACTGATGGAAGAGTATGTAGAACTTAAATCCTATTTGATTCGTGAATTATTTTTGTACTTTATTTAGGTTTATTATTACAACGCCAAGACGCGTGATACAACTTGGACAAAACCCGATGGTCAACGTGTTATGTCACAAGAGGAAGTCGATAAATTACTAGCTAATCCTTCTGCTGCTCAGGCAGAATCAACATCTTCATCTCCCACTCTTTCTACCACTTCAACAACACGGACGCAAACGGCATTGGGTGAAATAGTGAGTGATAATGCGAAAGATGAGAAAACGCTACAAGCAAGTCAAGATCAAACACGTATATCTTCCACTGAATCTAAAAATGTTGATGGTACATCACCAAACGATCAAACGAATCAGCAACCATCAACTACCTCCGATCAATCAGCATACAATACGGGACAACGTTACAGTTATCCACCCACTGGAATGATGCCACCATTTGGAATGCCACCACAGGCCATGATGAGTATGATGGGAATGATGCCACCCCATTTACTGGCACACATGAGTCATATGATGCCACCGGGTAAGAGAAAATGATATTTTTCTTGCTATCATAAAGAAGTCTATCGGGATTCTGTTAACAATGATGAATGTTACAAAGTAGAACGATATAACGGTCTGTCCAAGCGTACCAGCCAAAAAACGTAAGTTCGTAACGTTTGCTCTTCAGTCGAGCAACGTACAGAGTTGGGCAATGTCTTATTTTTTAGCTTAAAGAAGCCTCAAAGTCTAGCTGTACCATAAACACTTGACTGTAATTCACGCCAACAAGGCCCTTTTGTATGAAAGTGGCGTATACCAAAAACATTAAGTTACTTAAACTAGTCAGCTGCTAGACCTTGCTTAATTACCATTTGAAAGAAAAGTCTTTGAGCTAAAGAATAAGACATTTCCCAATGCTGTACGTTGCTCGGCTGAAGAGCTATGACTTTCACAAAACGTTACGAACTTACATAAAAGCTGACTTTTAGGTGAACAAGCCCATAAGTTCAATCGGGTACAAGAATCCCCAATTTTTATACAGTCCTGGACTATTTGTAGTGCTATAAACAAATATGTGTTTTATTCATTTTTCTAGGCTTTCCATACATGCCACCAAATCCTCAAATGATGCGTTATCCATTTATGATGCCACCATTCATGCATCAAACGCCAGGAGCTATACAACAACAAACTCCATCATCTTCAACAAAAACAACGTCTAGCGCTGTTGTTAATGCCGAATTACAAAAGGTATATTTTACACCTTTACTCATTCTTGTATAATTATAATTTCCGTATTTAGTTAAAACAACAATTAAATGAACTTGAAGATAAATTATCAGCAGCGAAAAATGATGCAGCTGTTTGGTCTGAATACAAGAATCCTGAAGAACGAGCCTATTATTATAATTCAAAGACAACAGAATCAACGTGGGATAAACCTTTGGTTTTTACCGAATTAGTTGGTAGGTCGAGAGAAATTTTGAGTCGATAGTTAATACTGTCCTAAAAAAAAATCCTAAAGATGTCAAATCGCTAAGAAGTTTAACAGCCGGTCAATAATCAGATTGATTTGCTTGTAAATCAGATGTTCAATGTTATTTATTTTTACTTCTAGAATTACAAGAGCAAATAGATTCATTAAAAAAAAACATTCAACAATCGGAGGAAGAAGCTAAACGTCTTGAACAAGAAACGAATACTATTGGTAATGCAGCTAAAGTGACTGATGATAGAATTTCATCGTTCGTCAATGGTTATACCGTTGAAAAAATGGATATTAATGACATACGGCGAATGGTAAGTACTGAATCTTCTATTATTGATCGATTAAAACAACGTCGTTCATTGTTGCTAATATTGTTCTATATTTTATATGTATACGTCACGTATTCTTAGATAATTTTGCTATACAAGATGTAATTTAGAGTTAAATGAAGCTGTTTCTCGTAACATAAAAACGGGTATAAGTTCGGAGAATAACCTATAATCATTTCCATTTTTTCTAATGTTTTTCTTTTCTAAGAAATCATTCTACAATACTTTCTTGTTCTATTTGAAATATAGAACAACAAAATGGATTCAACTACAGGACTAATTGGACCAGAAGAAAGACGAACAGATGACGAAAAATCAAAACAAAAATCAAGACCAATCTCAAGCATACCGGTTTCAGGAACACCATGGTAAATTATCTATCTAAAATTCCTATTCATGTTCTATTTCAAATGTTAAACATTTTCTTTCAGAACTGATATTTTCTAATTAATTTCAACTAACTATGAATGACTTGTGCCAGTTCTATATTCATTATTTGTTTAGGTGTATTGTATGGACTAGCGATGGTAAAGCATTTTATCATAATCCAACACAACATTTATCTCTATGGGATAAGCCTGAAGATTTGATAGGTATGTTTTGATTGATAGATAAAACTAACCGACATTTGACCGATCTTCTATTTGATCCAAATGATTTTTTTCATACGAGAGATTCGTTTGTATTTACAACATTTTGTTATACTAGGCTTCATTGCATAGTTTATCAGCTTGTTGAACTGGTCTTTTCCCACTCACTCTCATTACTCTTGCACCTCTCTTTTGGCTCGACGAGAAGCGCGAAATCTATTTAATTTTGTTGATCGCAAGAAATGTCATACTAAGAAGAATTAACTGTCGGTCACTTAAACGTCGATTGATGATAAATAAATATCTTTAATTATTTAATAATGTGTGTGCTGTTCATTTTTAAGGGCGTACTGATGTTGATACTATATTGAGTGAACCACCTAAACAGGTTGATCCAGCTGTTTTACGCGCTGTGGTCAAGAAGAAACTGGATCCAAAGTCAAGTGAAGATGAACCAGAGTCAAAAAAATTAAAGTTAGTTGCAAAAGCACCGAATTTTATTTTTATTGATGTAACACTTTTATTTTAGAAGCGATACAACTACAGCGGCTAAAGCAAAAGTCGAACAAACTATAATTAACACTCCCTCTTCAAACACTAGTATTACTAATGGTACCAGTCGGGTAGACGTGAAGAAGGAAGATGACGAAGAAGAAGGGACTGATGGAAATAATGGAGAAAATGTTACCACTAATACTTCGAATACTTATAATTCCGTTAGTTTAACAACAGACGATTCTACCAGCAAAATTCAGCCGACTCGAATTGCTGCTGGAAAAGATGCGGCAATTGAAGCAGAAGCAAAAGCTGCACAACAACGCGCTGTTGTGCCATATGAAACGAGAATGAAACAATTCCGTGAAATGTTAGCAGAAAAAGAAGTATACACGATTAAAATTTGTTCATTTCTAAAGAAAATTCACGAGTTATTTGCACTTTTAGGTATCAGCATTTGCAACATGGGAAAAAGAATTAAATAAAATTGTTTTTGATCCAAGATATTTATTACTCACAGCCAAAGAACGTCGACAAGAATTTGATAAATTTGTTAAAGGTATATATCCTTTTCTATGAATAACTTCGATAGTTTTTATTTTATTTTTATTTTTTTAGAACGAGCTGATGAAGAGCGTAAAGAAAAGGCAGCAAAATTAAAAATGAAAAAGAAACAATTTCATGATTTATTAAAAGATGCTAACTTAAGTACAAGGTAAACGACGATAGTATTTAGATTTAACCTCTATAGTAGCGTCTCATCATCATATATAAATATTTTTTATTTAGAACAACGTTTAATGAATTCTCATCACGTTATGGTAAAGATGAGCGTTTTCGTGCTATTGAAAAGTCGCGTGATCGTGAAGCATGGTTTCAAGAATATTTAATTGAACTTAAACGACGAGAAAAAGAAGATCGTTATAGTGATAAAGAAAAAGTACGTTTGATACTATTACAGTATTTATCTCGTGTTTATATTTATTTTCTCAACAAGAATATTCCCAAAAAATTTCATTTAGATAGTTTATTTACATATCAATAGTCTATCTTATTTCTAATTAATAGTTTTCGGGTAGTATAGACATATGTGTTTTCTGTTAATTAAAATTGTTCTCTTTCTATTTGTCTACAATACATCTATGTTTACCTGTTCAGGAAAAAAAGATGGTCACATGCATAATAAATGCAGAAAGTACGTGTTTTTCATCGATATATCAAATGCGTTTTCTTTCTATGGAAAACAATATTGATTTGTTTAAAAACGTTCTAGTGTATGACGTGGTCATTATCAAGATGGTGGGAGTATTTACTCTTATCCACTTTATTCATATACGCTGCTATTAAGAGAGCATAGACACATAGTTTTCCTGTGAAACACAATTAATATAGGTAGTGTGTGCAATTTCTTTTTCTTAGTTATTCGTTTCTAAACGTCTATATAAAGAAAGTAATGGTCTACAAAACAGTTTTGTATTACCAAATAGATCTACGGTGGGTGGCAAATAAAAAGATGGTGGAACTACAAGACATCTCCTACAAAGAACAAAATTATTTCAACAATCGAGCGTGTGTTGTTACTGTTATATATTTTTTTTCCACTAATTCATTTTTAGCATATCTTTTTCTCATTTATTCGTTCTCCATTTTCGTTTTTTTCTTTTTTCGTATATTTTAGTTGAAAACGGATTTTTTTTCAATGTTAAAACCATTGAAACTGACACGAAAATCATCATGGTTCGATATCAAACGTACAATTGAACATGATCAACGTTACAAAGCAATTGATTCAAGTTCAAAACGAGAAAATTGGTTTCAAGAGTTTTTATCAAAATATGCAATTGAAAGTGAGAAAACCGAGTCAAAAACTGATGCACTATCAGAGGTGAGTTTCATTTTCGTAGCAATACTTGACAAAAATCTTTTCTTTCACATATTTTAAACTGATGAAATTGTTTTATGTTTAATTTCAGGCTGATGAAGAAGAGAAAGTACGACAACGTGAGAAAGAAAAACAAGAACGTATTGATGCAAGTATAAAGAAACGTACAGAAGAGGTAAAAGAACAATTATCAACGTACCAACGTGAATTGGAAAAAGAGCGTGAACAATTGAAAAAAGAAAAAGCAGTTGAAAATTTCAAAGCATTATTAACTGATATGGTAAGTTGTTTATTTATCCAGGGGAAAATTTTATAGAAATTTTGCAGTGTTAGAATCATACAGTTATAATATCAAACATGATTCATGTAGAAAATTTTTATCGTTTCATGTGTTTTCATACCATTTCACAATATTCACAAGTATATACGCTATAAATAGTCCAAAGATTGTCCTATGGGCTATTCTTATGTGCTATTGTTGTTATTGCTTTAATTAATTCTATTTTCTTGCTACAGGTTCGAACGCCTGATGTTGATTGGAAAGATACAAAAAAATTACTACATAAAGATCAACGATGGGAACAATGTAAACAATTAGAACGTGAACATCGAGAAAATTTATTTGATGAACATATAAATCAATTACAAAAGAAACGTAAAACAGCATTTCATCAATTATTAAACGAAAAACAAGACATTGTAACGTTGACATCAACATGGAAAGAAGTAAAAAAAGCAATTAAAAATGATCCACGTTTTGAAAAATTTTCTACTAGTGATAAAAAGAAAGGTGAGTAGAAAAACTTAAAAGTATATAGAAAAGTTTATGTTTTCGTTTTTTTAGAAAAAGAATTTGATGAATATATTAAACAAAAATATCTTGATGCAAAAAATGACTTTAAAGAGTTATTACGAGAAACAAAAGTCATAACACATAAGTAAGTTGTAGTTAAACTGCATCGAGACTTTTGTTTTTAATATATAGATATTTATTAATAATTTATCTTTAATTTGTTTAGATCATTGCAAATGATCAATGAATCTGAACAACAGCTTCGTGATATTGAAATTATACTTAAAAATGACAAACGCTATTTGTCTCTTGATGTTGCACCGGAAGAACGAAAGAAAGCTTTGATGTCTTATCTTGAAGAAATCGCTGTCAAAGGTCCACCGCCACCACCCACAGCTTCGGAACCAAATTCTAGACGAAAAATTCAATAGATGAGAAATATTTGTTTTTATACGATAAAATTTTTCTATGAAATTATCAAAACAAACTTTAACAATGAGTATTTTTACTGATCAACACATTTCTATCGTATAACGAATATGTTTTATTTCATCTGCATTGTTCTCTCTAATTTTCGGTTTGACTTTGGTCCACTGTGACCAACCGTCGTTGTTTTTCAATGCATGAATAATATGTACGTGTTTCATTCGAGTCTATTTTTTTTTGTTTTCTACGAAAAAAAAATTTTTTTTCTTGTTGTCACTTTCTGTTTTTCCACTGTTTTCGTTATTTTGTGAATAAGTAAAATGAAAGATAAGTTGAAAAACAAACAAATGGCTTTGATGATGTTCTCAGTAACTATGTCCAACTACAAATAGTTCTTTTGCTTCATCTACCAGTCGATTCTTCATACTCGCCCGTAGACGCTTTCGCATTTGCTGCTGCTCGACGTAGAAAAGTTTGTTGGGCTGATGTTTCATTATCTCGATTGCCTCCCCATGCATTCAACGCAGAAACTTGTAAAGCACGTCCATAAGAAAATGTTAATTTCCACGGTCGTTTATGTGCATATTTTGATTTGTTCATTTCGTTCAAATGTAATGTTGCATTGTCTTCTGATTGTCCACCATCCAAAAATACCTTCACGAAAAGAGGTTAATGGGCTTCAGAGATGTATGTAGGTCTAGAAGTCAACATGCGCAGGGTTGTTGGCTTATCAAAAGTATTGTTGATGAAAAAATTTTTTTTCTCTATTGGACATTTTTCAGAAAGCAAATTTCTAACTATGAAGATTTTCTTCATAACTTTCATACAGTCATTTTATAAAAAAATTTTATTGGAAAGGATGAAAAAGTTTTGAAAAGAAGTTACGCTTCGGATAGGCTTGTATGATATCACACATTAACATAGCAAAAAATACTTACAATTCCAGGTAGAGCAGGTGGAACAGTTCTACTTAAGGCAGTAATTGTTGCCAATGCTAATACAATGAAAGGAAAAGAGAAAACAGACTAATGTTTTCGAAATAACTACTATCTACTAAAAAATCAATGAACTCTACCATATTTTGAATAGTATCTGATATTAGAAAGATAAAGATCTGGTTTTCTCGCTATCGGAAACGTCGATTGTCTAAAGGTGGCGTGAATCTTTGATAGATTGAGAGAGAGAGAGAGAGAGAGATAAGGATAGAACAGATCAACCTGTCTCGCCAAATGGAATTCAGCATGAAAGAAAATGCATAGTTTTTAAAGTTTTTTGGCGATGGTATCTTACAGAGATGGATAAGTCAAGTTTTTCTGGGATTTGACTTGACTGGAGAATTTTTTTCAAAAGACTTGACTTGTGACCTGGTCTTATAGGACCAAGTCAAAATAGTGTACATAATTAAGTGCTTTATGCGCTTTTAAATTTTATGTCTAAGTAATAATGAGCCACTAGAATAAAGAAATAAAGAATTAGAGATGTTTTAATAGATTGCAAACGTGTTGTGGTATTATTTTTTGTGAAGCTCGATCGAGTTATCTCTCGTTGGTTTTGTTTTGCCAGGCGTTTTGTTATTATTGTCAAACCTGAACAGGAAATTATTTGTCTTTTATAAAGAATGAAAACATTAAATGTAGAGCTTCTGCAAGAAGAAAGAATTTGAAGAAAAATGATTTGAAACTTGACTTGAGACTCCTCTGACTTGCCTATGTCTAGTATTTGAAACATGATCAAAGCTGAACAGACTCTGATCTGAAGCAATTCTTAATGAGTTATCTCACGTCTTTAAATTACTAAAATATCCTGTCAAAGGTCAGTCTAGGTCCTCGATTAAAAGACAGATTAATTTATCAAAGATTCACGCTACCTTCAGACAGTATACTGCACTTGATTACTCCGTATATTGACGTTTCCGATATGCGAAAAAACGAGGTCTCTGCCTTTCTAATATCAAATGTTATTCAAAAAATGGCCGAGTTCATTACCTTTTTAGCGGATAGTGGTATAGATAATTTGTTGTCTTCATTTTATGATGATACATCCACTCAATGGTTCTTACCGATTTATATTAGAATGTTTTAGTAAATTTCTTAACTTCTTACCAACATCTACTTCTCCTTGTTTTTTACTAATTTGTCCAAAAGTAACCATATTCGGTTTCAGTAAACAACCTTCTAAATAAACATCGTAATCTGACAATGCTTTGAAGGTTGCTGCTAAAACAGTTTCAGTCACTTGTTGACATCGTTCCAGTGTATGTTTTCCGTCTGACAGTACCTCAGGCTCTACGATTGGGACTAAGCCTAAAAAGTAAAAACACATTACTTGTAGGCTCTTCTTGTTAATACATCACTTGTTAAAGGGAATGTTATTGAACAACACTTGTTAAAGGGAATGTTATTGAACAACACTTGTTAAAGGGAATGTTATTGAACAACACTTGTTAAAGGGAATGTTATTGAACAACACTTGTTAAAGGGAATGTTATTGAACACACAGAAGACACATTTAGCCTTTCGTCTCGGCACGTTTCCAAGGTTAAATACCTACTTAATGCTTATGAAACAGTCACATTGATTGATATATAGAACCAAAGAGCATTTAGTATTTTTGAAATGTTTATGTTTGACCATATAGATGTCTATTATCTGTTTACGCTAGTCACCTTTGGATTGACAAATAGTCGCAAAGCGTGCTAATACAATTGCATTATTCCAAATAGCCAATTCTGTGGGTTTATTTGTTTCCATGCATAAAACGCATCTCCATTTTGCAAATTTTGCTCCTCTACTATAAAAGTATTCACAACGTTTTTCTAAATCATCGAAGCCTAGTGTTGTTGTTTCATTAGTTTTTGATGTTATTGATTCTAGACCTTTATCTAATTTGATTCCCGGTAAGATACCCGCTGATATTAATAAATCGGGAAATTGTTCTGAACTATCAGAACCTTGATCAAATGTTTCTTCGTGCATAATGGCACCGGATATGTATTTTTCAATATCAGGAGAAGTAAATAACAGTTGACGATAAATTCGACGATTTTCAGCTTAATAGATAGACACAAGAAGTTTGACCACAATGTGAATTGCTTACTGACGATCGTATCTAATACCTGTATTTTCAACATTAATCGAATCAAACCATTTCGCAACGGAATTGGGACTTTCATCAGCAGCTAAAATTCCTTTTCCCGATTGTACGAGATATTCGGCATTTCTTCGCAGTAATTCTAGAGTAGATTTTTTATCTTTTTCTAGTTTTATCATATTGATTGTTGTTAAAAAAAGAATGAAAAACAGAATGCGGTTGATGTTGCTCGGATAATTTTTAACGCGCACACAGATAAATTCAACAAAAATTCAAAACCAAGTGTCAGTTTGTCAATGAGAAATACCTATTTGAGATGAAATAGTTGAACAGTTATACTGACATAAAATTAATTCGATAGACCTCTCAACGGAACTTCTTTTCAAGTAGAGTTTTTCAACTAAATATGAAAGTACGAATTAGTTTAAATAATTACATTCAAAATCACATATTAGTAATTACTTACATGCATTTAAGCTAAACTAAAGATGTTGTTCGTCAGCCAAGTGTTATGAAAACCGTTTTGGGACTTCGAAATGTGTTTCATTTGGATAAGTAACTCATCAAAAACTTCTTTATCTTCTTATTTTCTACTTATATTCGTCCAGCATCATTATCAAATTAACCAACATAGCCTTTAGTGTGGTATAATCGTTTCATTTCTTTAATATTTGAAATAGAGAATCTTTGGAAACTTACTCCAATTCGCTGCAGAACATTTTAGAAATTCAAAATAGACTGTACTATAGCTGCGTTACATGATTACGTGGTTTAATGTGCGAAAAGAATACGTAGAAAAACATGTACTATACATATTCGGATTCAGCGTAAAAAACTGGATCAGATGATGTATGAAAATCAAAAAAATTAAAACTGCTCG